TCCCTGCCGTGGGGCAGCCGCTCCCCGGCCCCAGAGCCAGTGATTCGGGGACTTTTGTAGCCAGTTGCCCGCCCATCACATGATCCCCTTTTGTTTTCGAAATGAAAACGAAAGAGGGTCGGTGGAGTCGCTGCCTGCCTCGCTCCTGCCCTCTGCCCCTCGGCCTGGTTATAGCGCCAGACGCAAACGACCCAGCAGGGGCGCAGCTGCTCTCCCAACAAAAGGGACTGGGGGGCACAGAGGAGACCTGGCAGCTGGTGTCCGACACACAGACGACTTGGGGGGAGCTAGGATTTTTCATCCCCATCAGCTGCTCCATAACCCAATAAGACAGGAGTGGGGGACCTAAGGCTTGCCTGGATCCAGCCCCTGAGGCTCTGAACTCCCCCTCAGCATTGGGGATCCTGTGTGCTCCACCCCCTTTTCCCCCTCCCATCCGCTGTCTCCTCACTGCAGCTGGAGCACAAAAAACCTACTAGCCTGGGCCTGACTGATTTTTCTGTGGGTCAACGGCTCCTGACCCAAAAAGATTCCCCACCCCTGCAATAGGAGTTAAAGCACAATGAGAGGTCATGTGTAGAAGGGGGCCTAGGGGCATCTCTGGCACCAGGTCACCATCATGAACTGTCCAGGGGTTTAGCATCCACTCTACATCTTAACATGTGCAATCAACCCCCTATGGCTTGCAATATGAATGGGGCATCTGGCCAATATGTGGACAGGGGCGTGTGAAGAACAGACATGCTTTGTGGTATGTACTCCCACCCATGCCATAGTCTGATACCCACGTTAAAATTGGGAATGGAGGTTATAAATGCTGCTCTAAAGCTATCGCTGCTTTTTGGAGGGGGTTGCATAGTATAGACAGTAGTTGCTAGCCATGGCAACACAATGAGGCCCATAGCTAGACACTAAAATGGTTATGGAGATGTCTCCCTCCATACCCTGGCTAGACTCACAAATGTTTAGAGAGGTGAGAATTTCTTATGGGTGCTAATTTTTTCAGTCCTCACTCCTGCCGCCCACTCTTCTCCCTCCCATGTCAAGCTCCCACTGCTTCCCTCCCTTCCACTTTTTTTTTTTTTTAATAGTAAAACTTACTGTATTGCTACTACTTCCAGACCCAGAATTTTTCTCACTCAGGGAATGGGGCATCATGTGTCACAGCATGTCCTTGAGATTGGCTCTGCCTCATCAGGGTGATTGAGGATCCATAGTTATGACCAGGGATTCCTGATCTATATGGCCTCCCCTGTCCCATCCCCGTCATACTGCTGTCAGCCCCGTGTGGAGGATGGTGTCTCAGAATGATGCTCCCTTATTCTCATGCACCATTTGGGTAAATGTTGCCAGCTGCACCTCTTCCTGGGAACAAAGGAGCCAGAGGCAAAAGAAGGAAATGAATTGAATCATTTGATCCATTCCCCTACTGTAGCATGCAATTTCAAAGAACATGGTGCTTCAAGAAAGGCAGAAGATGGCAAATGGATTTCAATAAGAACCATTGTAAACATAGTGTGTGTGAGAGATCATTTCTGTTACTCACTTGGGCTGCATCTACACTGCAGCGCTATTTCAGTATACCGGAGTATCACAAAATAGCTATCCTGCATCTTCCCAGCAAGTTTGTTATTTCAAAATATAACGGGCTCGCTATTCTGACATCCCTGTAAAACTCATTCCACAAGGAGTAAGGGACGTTTCAGAATAGTGGGTTATTTCAAAATTTGGTCCTGTATAGAACAAAAGCTATTTCAATAGCTATATAAGCTATTTAAAAATAATATACACAAATTGTGTATCTTATTTTGAGCTGCGGTGCAGTGTTGATGCATCCCTGGAGTGCCAAGTTGGCACATACAGTATTTTGGGAAGTATAGTTACATATATTGCCAATATTCATTTTTCTATATTAAGAATTGCTTCCTGTTCCTGATGATGATCACAATAAAATTAATCACATAAGTTGTCTATTTTAAAATTGTTTTTAATTTTTTTTAAACCAGGTACAGGGAAATGTTAAATGTGTATCAGAAAGTGACCTGACTGTTTTTCTTTCAAACTCTTCTTTTGGTCAAATGTTAGAGGTTTCAGCTTTGATGTTCTTTTACACCCACTGCCAATTAAAGCCAAAGTCATGTGCATTATTTTTGCCTTTAGCAGGGGAGGGGAAAACATTTCATGGAGTTTCAACTTGGAAAATGTGTAGTACTTTCCAGAAAATTCATGGAAGCTTTGAATACTTAATTGAGCTGCTGAAAATAGTGATAGGAGCTTCTTGGAAGCGAAGATGAGGAGCCAGGGGCCACAAGTGTTTATAAAGAAAAGAATTAGAGAACTTAAAATTAGTAAAAATGAACCCTAGGAGAAACACTATGTCCAGTGCTCATGCTCTTTTCTTTCACCTACAGGTTAACCCTCTTTAGTCCTGCACTCTCTGACCAGCAACATCCATAATCCAGCATGATTTTAGTTAGCTGGATGTCCACTTACCATGGGTGTGACCAAGTTTCCCGCAGTCCCATAAAGTTTGTTTACAGCCACCAGTCCTGGCTCTTAGTGTTCTATGATGTTATTTAGCCCTCATTTACCCCTACATGTCTTCTAAAAGCCCAGTAAGCAGTAGAAGTGTTGATAATGTTGCTAGACAATATTGACCTCCTGTGGTTCCGCAAATCCTCTGGTTTGGCAGCAGCAAGGTCCTCAGGATGCCGGACTAGAGAGGCTTAACCCGTACTCAAGTGACACTGAAATGTAAGCTTTAAAATCTTTAATTTCAGTTTGACAATGATACTCAAGTATAACTGTTTTGATCCATGTTTATTATTCTGTATAATGCACATGTTAACCTGGAATACTTGGTTAGAGGTGGTGATTTTTCTAATCTAAAGCAATGCTGTTAGGTTAAAATTTTATTTAAAAAAATCAAATGTCCTTATCCGTATAATCAATGACTTCCAAAATTAAAACAACAAAGTTTTTAAAAAACTAGTTTATTTTTCATTAACTTGGCTGTTGGCTTGCATCTTTCTGTTTGATTAATGGAAACAGGCTCACCAGTAGCATTTCAGGTTCTCAGTCACTAGCACTAAATTGTAAAGTTTAGATTCTAAACATTACAATCAAAGTTTTAAATTGTATTAAGTTACTCCATCAAAAGCAATTTTGTTCATCTTAGGTTTTGTGTGAAAACAAAAAAGGCGTTGAACTGATTTACCTTAAACTAGGGTAGGGATGTTAAAATGCATTTATTCCGGTAAATGTGTATCCACTGAAATTTTCAGTGGGTGCACATTTGCACGCAGGGGAGGGGAGGGAAGGTGGCTCCCCCTGTGTACCAACTCTGGCAGAGCCACCTGCCTTCCTCCAACGCTGCTGACTCTGTATCAGAGGCAGTAGCGGGGGGCATGCGGGAGGGGCAATGCGACTACACGAAAGCTGGTACACACCTGACCCCCCCATTAGGTGCCAGAGGTGCTCGTGGAGAGCCTGCTTAAAAGCTGGGTCCCCATGAGCATCAAATCCGCTGCCTGTCCCGCCCTCCCCCCTGCCACTCCCTGCTGCTGCCTCTATATTAGAGGCAGCAGAAAGAGGGAGGAGGCCATGTGGTTCCTGTCTGACCCCTGTGCTGCTGCTTCTGATACAGAGGCAATGAGAGGACAGGAGCTGCGTGTAACCGTGACGGTTAACAGATGAGCCCAGGATCATTGGTTAACTGTTTACACATTTACACTATCACTATGAAAAAATATAGTTTTAAGGACTTGTAATACTGTTTTATAATACTTCTGTTTTCATTGGTTTAGACAGCTGTACCTGCCTGGGAAGCTGGCATCTCCAGTTATTGCTATGAAGTGTACCGGACATGCTGAGAGTCAGGGACTTCCCTTCCTACTAGAGAATGCTCTAACGAGAGAGGCCAGGATTTGGAAGGTGCCAGTGTTTCAGAATTTCACCCTGAAGGTATTCTTTCCTCTTCTCTTTGGAAATGCATTAGGAAGCCAGAAGGTTTTCTGCAAAATGCAGTCCCAATTCTGCCATCTGATCTACATGTCCACACCCTATATTCGGGTAAGTTTAACCTATCCAGGTTTCAGTTTAGAATAACAAGATGCATAATATGTAAAACACCATTGGTCCAAACTAAAATGCAGAGAGTATCCTTGTATAAATCAAAACCTGGAACTCGGAAGTGGCAATGGGGTGACAAGGGTGTAGGTGTCTGTTTGGTGTTAAATCAATGGTCCTATATATAAGTAATCCTAAAATCTACAGCGCTTGTTCACTTTTTTATTCCCTACTCCTCTATTTCACTCAGATGCGAGTAAGACAGGCTGCTCTGCAATCCAATGGTTAGTAGTCAGGAAACTAAATTCTATTCCTGGCTCTGCTATTGGCTCACTCTGTTACCTTGGGAAGCCACTTAACCTTGCTCATTTTTCTTGTCTGTCACTGGAGATAATAATGCTTACCTGCATTTGTAAAGTGCTTTGAGATCAAAGTGCAAAATTGCCCTTAAAAAGCATTTCGGGCTATGTCCCTTCTCTGCACCATCTCATGGAAGTGCTATATCAAGGCAAGGTATCATTATTTATTTTATTAATGAACCTGGTACTATCATTTGATGATTCAAGATCAATATACTACAAGATAATGGTGGACACTATTATCTGAATCAGTCCCTAATTTATACACTGCACCTTTCACACACTCTAGTTGCTTTTACATTAACATGTAAATGCATCCCGTAAATCACCCACAATAATGCATTACCAACAAGACTAAAAGAAGTCTGTCCTCCCCTTGGAATACATCCCCACAAGAAAAACCTGAGTAGGTAAAGAGGCTTTGCAGCATATCCTGTAGAGTCGCAAACTTAGCTTCTATACAGTCCAGGGATTAAGCAAATTTGAGAGACGAGGAGCTGCTGTAAGAACCCCTAGATATACTACTCAATCGCCCTCAAAATGATCATCACTGTTGGGCTAAAAGTGCAACTGAGCTGTTGATAAGAACATTTAAACAGATGGATTTTTAAATCCTCTTCCTCCAAAGAAAGTGTGTTGTTTAACAAGCTACCAATTGTGTTTTAACTTTATTCCTTCATCTCAGGGCACAGATATCTCTCCCTCAAATTATGAGAATGCAGTTCTCTGGATTGCAGAATTAAGCTCCCAGTTCCAATTTTGCTCTGAAACGTTTGCCTTGGCTATCAACATTCTTAACCGGTTATTGGCATCAGTAAAGGTAGAGATTCTCTTTGGAAGCTTTATTGTATTATTTTATTATTAACGAGGGCTGCTGTGAATGTCTAATTTGGGTTAAGTTTGTACATGGATCTAGGTGGACTGCAGGTATTTCAAATCACTCAGATAGTGAACCTCTAGAAAACACAGAGCTCAGATAGCAATCTGAGCCAGGCATAAGCTAAACCTTAAGTCAATAGGACAGAAACAGGAGCTTAACTTAAGATCATATTTGCATGCTGTCCTAAATAGGGATTTCCCCTGAATTATATTTCAGATGTAGTTATAAACATGAAGTGTTTATGTAGAACAGTGGTGAAAAATAGTTGCACAAACTATGGGCCCAATTGCTCTCTCCTTGAAATCAAAGGCAGAATTTCCCATAGCCATCAATGTGAGCACGACCGGTGCCTCTCATGTATTTTTACTTAGATTCACAATTGACATCGGGCAAAAGTTCAAGCCTAGTATTAAGTCCCCACCAATTTACAGTAAATAAATAAATAGAACCATCACATTCTGCCTGGTAGCACTGTACAGTAGGGCTTGTTGTATTGCAAGATTTAAGCACAGATTGCTGTGTTACCTGCATGAAGAAGGGGATTCCTTCCATTGTCATTTTTTGTGTCTTTGCTTTGTTTAATTTATGGGGAGGAGCTGAGGGATTTGGGCGTACAGGCAGTCCCCAACTTACGCGGATCCGACTTATGTCGGATCCGCACTTACGAACGGGGCTTTTCTCGCCCCGGAGCTCACGGGCGGCGGGTCGCCGCCCGTGTCCTCCGGAGCGAGAAAAGCTTCTCCCGGTCTCCCTGGTCTGCTGGGGGGATCCAGCAAAGCCGCTGGACCCCCCCCCCCCCCCAGGGACACTCGAGCAAAGCCACCGCCTGGGCGGCTTTGCTCGTTTGCCCGGGAGCCAAGCCGCCCCGGCAGCGGGACCCCCA